TTTGCTGTTTCCCGTAGCCTACATGTAAGCAGCTTTCTCTACCACAAAGGAGATTATAATGCTATTTTACCCAACGCTGATGTACAGAACTAACATTACATCTGAGGAAGACATATATTGCTTTCGGTTGCTTAGTTTCCTTTACTTGTATCATGGCTTGTGTGACTGTGCTGTAATACTGTGGTTACCCTCATACGTCACACTCCAGGATTCCCCAATGCCTCGGTGAACTAATACAGTGATATAAGATCTCAGAAAAAGTTTTACTGATGATGCAAACTATACTGACAGTTAAGCAGATGTAGAATATGAACGAACGCGCAAGGTTTCATGCTGTTTCCCTCAGAAATCTGTTAAAGAAAACGCATTACGCGGCTCAGTGCACTAACGCAATGACAGCTATTAAAAGACCAAACTCAGATCTTACTGATAATGCAAACTACAAACAGGCAGATGAGGATATGAACGCAGGTTACGGAACGCACAAAACTGCACGTTAAACATCTCCCAGCTAAAGAAAACGCTTAACGTGGTTTATTGCCTCAAGACGGTGATAAATGATTAAATTCGGCACCTAATTAATCATATATATATATTAATGTATATTATGTACATTTAAGCAGATGAGCCCAGAATATGAGCCCACAACCCACAAAGTTTCACCAAACCATTTTCTTCTCCCATAGAAAACCAAGCGCGGTAGTTTTAGGTTTGATATTCGCTGCATATTCGCCTAGGCTGCTTTATGAACCGTCTGCAAATTTACCTCACAGTCCAAAAGTCCAATAATTTATTCAAATTAATGTTTACAGTAAATGAATAATTTACTCAAACTGACTAAATATATATTGCCAATAACTCGCCTTAGACAATACTTTCCCCAAGTATGTACACTACACAAATATTTTTTAAGAAAAAAATTACAGTAATTCACCAAAATGGGTTTTTTCTTGTTCCAAATGTTGTATGTTACTAGTGACCAGACTGACTTACTACAGTTGAAATTTTGCCAATATCTCCCTTACTGTATGCACCATTCACAATTATTTAAAATAATTTAAAAAATAATCTGTAGGACCCCAAAAGGGATTTCTCATGTTCCAAAGGTTGTAGTACATTCCTAGTGACTAGACTGACTTACATAGGTGAAATTTTGCTAATACCTCCCTTACTGTACATAAAGTACATCAATATTTTATACTACAACCTTTGGAACATGAGAAATCCCTTTTGGGGTCCTACAGATTATTTTTTAAATTATTTTAAATAATTGTGAATGGTGCATACAGTAAGGGAGATATTGGCAAAATTTCACATGAAGTCAGTCTTGTAGCTAACTAGCAACGTACTACAACCAGTGCAACATGAAAAAACCCTTTTGGTGAATTACTGTAGTTTTCTAAAAAGATATTTGTGTACTGTACATACCGTAAGGGCGATATTGGCAAAATCTAACCTGTAGTAAGTTAGCCTTGTATCTAGCAACGTACTACAACCATTGGAACATAAAAAACCCTTTCCAGGGATCTTTTATATGTAAATAATTGTGTACTGTACAGATTTGAAGGGAGGTATTGGCAAAATCTCACCTGTAGTAAATCACTATGAGCAATACGAGCTTTACAATTTGACAGTGTGTTATTTTAAATGTTAAAAGTCATTTTAATTAAAATACGTTGGACGTTTTAACCCAGTCGGTGAAATTGTCAGCAGTGTTGGGCAGTAACGCATTACTTAGATGGGCGATAGTGTACTTCTACTTAGCGCTTGCAATTTCTGCAAATCAGTTTTTGTGAATGAATGACTTAATCCGCCTGTTGCTTTGGTCTTCATCAACAGCCGCTTTCGCAAACCTGCTGGTGAGCGACTGACAGCAGCTGGAGATCGTGCATCGGTGCTCTACTGCTGTGCAATAACGAATTTTCTGTCGAATTTTAACCACCGGATTTGTGGAAGCGAATCTGGAAAGATACCGTAAGGGAGATATTGGCAAAATCTAACCTGTAGTAAGTTAGCCTTGTATCTAGCAACGTACTACAACCGTTGGAACATGAAAAACCCTTTCCAGGGATCTTTTATATGTAAATAATTCCTTGTATCTAGCAACGTACTACAACCATTGGAACATAAAAAACCCTTTCCAGGGATCTTTTATATGTAAATAATTGTGTACTGTACAGATTTGAAGGGAGGTATTGGCAAAATCTCACCTGTAGTAAATCACTATGAGCAATACGAGCTTTACAATTTGACAGTGTGTTATTTTAAATGTTAAAAGTCATTTTAATTAAAATACGTTGGACGTTTTAACCCAGTCGGTGAAATTGTCAGCAGTGTTGGGCAGTAATGCATTACTTAGATGGGCGATAGTGTACTTCTACTTAGCGCTTGCAATTTCTGCAAATCAGTTTTTGTGAATGAATGACTTAATCCACCTGTTGCTTTGGTCTTCATCAACAGCCGCTTTCGCAAACCTGCTGGTGAGCGACTGACAGCAGCTGGAGATCGTGCATCGGTGCTCTACTGCTGTGCAATAACGAATTTTCTGTCGAATTTTAACCACCGAATTTGTGGAAGCGAATCTGGAAAGTGAAATAAAATGGACCGAAATTTGCCTGTCGAATATTATCCATCGTATTTTTAAACAGATTGAATATTTTGGAAGTGAATTCTGGAAGGTGATTGCAAGATTGCATTTTTAATTATGAAAATGTGTGTGAAATATTTTGAATTGAAATATTCACAGCTTAAATAGACAACTATGTTAAATTTCAGGACCTAAAAATGCAAGCCCTGGAAATACAAGGCATTAAAATGCAATGCATTATTTTTTCAGTTAGTGCTATTCAACGTGCTTTTTTGTTTCAAAGTCATATGGCATTCTTTTTCTTCCATACATAAACGAGGCATTCACATGAAATGCTCAGAAGGTACTAGCCTAAAGCAAACAAAAACAGCATTCAGCATTTTATTCTGCTTCCACACGAATGACTTGGCTCTCTTGCGCTCAGTATAACATTAGTCAGACTTTCCCCGAAGATGGATATACAAAACCCCGTTTGCCAGACAGCGGGTTCTGAAGAATTTACATTGTCACTCCAGTGGTTCCTTCAACCCAAAATCGCCCAGCGTAGAGCTAGCATGGTCAGACCACAGCATGAATCTAGCCATTCCAGTGCTGTCAGGCCCAGACTTCAGCTGCACTGCCAGTGACCTCCGTGAGCCCTCCGTCGCTCACATCTGGAGTCTGTTACAGCTGCTCTTTCTGCGTGCTGCACGATTCCTTCCCTCGCCTCCACATTCTCTGTCTCACTTGCTAAATGTTAGGATTTAAGATTGTTTAACTTTGAGCCAAAGCCATTGGTATTAACAAAATGAGTCGCTTTGTACGTTAATATGAAAAATCGAGCTAAGCTGAAAGGTCTCTGCCTCTATTCCTAGCATGAGCAGTACACACAAAAACAGCTGAAAGCATAGCGCGGAGGTGGAATAGCTGCCATCCACAAAGTTGAACCCATCTCCATTCCTTTGTATTTGTTAAATAAATATGTTTTCAGCTATTAATATGAGTGTACAGTGACCCAAAATGCTTAATTTTCCCAAAATGTCTAATGTTCAATTAGACAACAAAATACCAAGTGGCTTCTTTAAAAAAATAGTGTTAGAGTTTTCTCAGAACTAGCTTGCTTTTCCATTTTTTGTAGCTGACTGGACTTACTAGACAGTAAGTGTAATGATAGCTATAATGTTTTAATAACCGTTTTATGGGAATAGGGAAGTCCACAGCTATAATGATAACAATAACAAACTAGTTGGTATTACTTTGAGGACGATTTTTTTGACAGCCAATCAGAATCCACCCGATTTAAAGAGCTTGAGCATTTAAAGCAGCAGATGACAAAACATTATCATCTATTGGTGTAGACATATAAAAGTGTGACTTGAGTGTCCACTGTAGTATTGTAGTATTCCTGGCCATGTTGAAATCCATTCTACAGAATTTTAGGGATATTTTTCCAAAATCAGTGCAGGAGAGTGGAGGTGTCACTTACTGGGAAGAATTCCTCTACTATCTCTTTGTCGGTGAATCGCATTTCTAAGGAAATGGCCTTTACAAAAATTCCAGTCACTGCTTGAGTGTATTGTATTTGGAAAGTTATCAAAATATAAAGGACATTATGTAATAATGCTATAAAGTAACTCATTATGACTTGCAGCAGGGTTGTCTGTAGTCAAGGAAAGTTCTCCCTCTGCCCTCTAGTGATTATTCAAATACATTACAATAAAACCAGATTTTTTTTGAATAGTGCTGTTTTTCAAGGCAAGCATCAGTATAAGGAGTATTGAACTTGTGCTGTGCTGCTGAAGCAAATGATACCTCGAATTGTGCAGCTTATTGGAATTATTCAGAAAATGTAGAAATCTAGGTTTTATTTGCCATGTCCTCCTTTGGATGTTTTCGTGCACACTATGGTTCAAATGTTTTGTCTGTACATTTGTAATTTTTAATCTGTGTATGTATGTATGTATGTATATATATATATACACATGCAGCAGTTATAAATCAGTATTAATGTTCACTTCATCAACAAAGTCAATGACATTACACATTGTGAGATTTCACATCCACTGCCTGAAACCTATGGAAGCTTGTTTCTGCCACAAGCTTGTTTTTTTTTAAAGGTAATTGCAACATCTCACAATTCAGACTTTTTTCTCACAATTCATACGACACTCAACTTGAATTTCCTGAAACGTCTGCATTGTAAGAAATAAATGTAAGAACTACTTTCCTGGTTATTTTCAGTAAATGTCGATATACTTAGAAACTTTCAAGTTCATTAAGTAACCAAAAATTCACTGATAAGTGGAAAAAAATCATTTCAGATTCATTTTTAAGCTTTATTACATGGCAATGGTGAAATAAACTTAATGGGTCAAAACCTTTTTTTTTCACCCCATTACTTTTGCACAAAGTATATTTTGACAATAAAAAATAAAACAACCTAGATGTTTAAATATGTACAGCATTGATAAATTAGTATTTAAAAGTTTTCTCTCAACTATCAGTGCCTATAAAGCAGAAAAAAATGTGTTTTGGGGGGGCGTTAATTTTACCAGTACATTTAAGGTGGTAAAATACAAAACACAAAATAAACTATTAAATCAGTAGTTTAATTTGACTTTTTTCCATAAATATGACTCAAACTTACTGAAATGTTTTTGGATTACACAGTCTTTCAAGGCCACCTATGAGATCAGTGAATAATGTCCTGATATTTTAAATAAAACACTGTTTAAGCTAAATAAACAGCATCAAAATAAACCATATTCATTTCATGAATCAGAATGCACCCAGGCACTCGATTTCAGTTTTTAGGACAGTATAATACGGAAAGACAAACTTTGGCAAAATGTGAAAAATGTCTAGCCAACAACAACAAAACCATAAATATGACAGCAGATCAGAAACGAATAGAACAACAAAGCTAGATAGTCTCAAACAAAACAAGGCCAAAACTCTCCCAGATATTTACAGTACATAGCAGTGTAAAAATAGGTGCACAATTAGCATTTAATATGTATCAAAGCACAGAGAGGAACGGTCATGTCTTGCAGCAAGCTTACAAAAGCTCAACGAGATCCACATTCAGTCAGACCTGCTGATTTGAGATGATGTACTGGTTGCGAGTACTCAATGTCCGTTCAATTAAACAAACATAGATGTCAGACAACTTCTCAGAAAGCCAACTGCACGATAACCTTCAAAACTCCAGGTCATTCCTGAGATTAAAATCGCTCCAATCCAGTGTTATGGCTTCCATTTCTCATTCGCCTCTTTTCCAGGTCCATGTACAAACAGCCCTACTGTCTCTTCAGAGATGAGGCTTTCTTCTTCCTGGCAGCAAGCATCTCATAGAAAGGATCTCTGCTTATTGCAGCCCTGGAGAGAATAATAAAGAGAGAAAAGAATATTTGTTTTGCTTTTTTTACTTACTTTCGGAATGATGATTTTAGGAATTTTTTGGAAAATTTCCACGATTTACAAAATATTTTTGCTATTATATTATATTAACGTGAGTATTAATGTCTTGTATTATATCAATATTATATCCACCTGTGGATCAGACAGAGGTGAGTATATTAAGGATGTCTGTATGAGTATTTGGTAGAGAATAACATAATAGCAAAAATAGTTTATTCAATTATATCAATGTGAGAAAAGAAAAGAAAATTATTTTAATTGATCATTTTTATAAGTAAAATTTAAAAAAGTATAAATCATTTTAAATTATTGTAAAAGGTTGCTAGGATGAAAAAGCAACAGTGCAAATAATAAACAAAGTAATAATATTTCATTTTTCAATTAAAAAAAAAAAAACAGAGTCCCTGCTCAATATTGATCTATCTAGGAAACTTCCACCATTACAAATGACTTTTGCTATTATATCACACATGAATAATGAGAATTACTACCAAAATTCCAGTGTGATTTTAATATTACTTATATATACTGCGGAAGTATTTAATTTTTATAAGTAAAATTTAAAAAAGTATAAATCATTTTAAATTATTGTAAAAGGTTGCTAGGATGAAAAAGCAACAGTGCAAATAATAAACAAAGTAATATTTCATTTTTCAATTAAAAAAAAAAAACAGAGTCCCTGCTCAATATTGATCTATCTAGGAAACTTCCACCATTACAAATGACTTTTGCTATTATATCACACATGAATAATGAGAATTACTACCAAAATTCCAGTGTGATTTTAATATTACTTATATATACTGCGGAAGTATTTATTCATATTTTGAAAGAGCTTTTATTTTCTGTTTTATTTAATTATTTTCATTTTGGTTTTATTATAAACATATATCTTATATTTATATTTTATTTCAAATAACAATATTAATAGTTTTAATTCCAGGTTTAGGTTTAGACGGTGCATCTTCTGTATTTTATGTTTGATATGAACAATAATCAATAGATTCAACTGGAGAATTTAAGAAATAGACAGCAATGCGTTTTAAATAATAAAAAATCAATAAAAATACTACAACAATATATTACAAACATGCCACTACAGATTTTTTATTGAGCAAAACAGAATTTCGGGGCTCTGTGAATTAGCTGTAATTCTGGGTTTAAGTCCAAACTGTCAAAATGCTTCTCATGCATATTAAAAGCTGATGAGAGGAAGACTTGCTTGATGCTTTTGATCCACTCCTCTTTCTCCTCTGTTGTTGGTGCTGAGATGCGGTAGAACGTGTGGTTTCCTTCCACAACCCGTCCATCTGCTTCAGTCTTACAGGCTTTGATGACCTGATCCTTGTTGTCTGGGATGAAGAGTTCAAAGCAGTTCTGTGTAAAGAGAGCTACTTTAGAAGAATTTTATTTCAAATAACAATATTAATAGTTTTAATTCCAGTTTTAAGTTTAGGTTTAGACGGTGCATCTTCTGTATTTTATGTTTGATATGAACAATAATCAATAGATTCAACTGGAGAATTTAAGAAATAGACAGCAATGCGTTTTAAATAATAAAAAATCAATAAAAATACTACAACAATATATTACAAACATGCCACTACAGATTTTTTATTGAGCAAAACAGAATTTCGGGGCTCTGTGAATTAGCTGTAATTCTGGGTTTAAGTCCAAACTGTCAAAATGCTTCTCATGCATATTAAAAGCTGATGAGAGGAAGACTTGCTTGATGCTTTTGATCCACTCCTCTTTCTCCTCTGTTGTTGGTGCTGAGATGCGGTAGAACGTGTGGTTTCCTTCCACAACCCGTCCATCTGCTTCAGTCTTACAGGCTTTGATGACCTGATCCTTGTTGTCTGGGATGAAGAGTTCAAAGCAGTTCTGTGTAAAGAGAGCTACTTTAGAAGAAGCTTTTATCCAGAGGAACCTTCAGTACATTAATCACAAGGATATTTCACTGGAGCAAACTGAGGTTACCAGAACAATGACGGCAGTGTATGAGAGAGATTTGAGCAAACCCGTAACTCTGTGCTAATTACCACCACTCAAAGCTCAAAGTAAAACATCCCTGTTTTCAAACAAACATTTTCCAAGTCATCTAGTACATTGTCTGGACAACTACTTAACTAGCAAGGGGTTGCCAGGATGAAGAATAAGAAACAAATATTATTAATGTTATTATACAACTTAAAAGAGAGAATAAAACTAAAAAGATAAAATAATCTAGAAAAGAAAATATAAAAATTAAAAGCACAATGCCAATCAAAGCACTGTTTGCATAATAAATAACTTGCATATTACATAATTTATAAGCAATAATTATTCACTAATAATAACTAATAAAACCAAAAATATAAGGATATAAATATACAAATTATATATATATATATATATATATAATATCATTTTTTTTAAATATAAGTGCAACATGCTAATTAAAACAACTGTTGCAAAAAATAATAAAACAATGATAAAACTTGAAAGTGATAATTAAAACTGAACTAAAACGAGGATAAAGCAAGTCTACAAAGTAATAAAATGAAATAGAAAATATGACTATTTAAAAATAATAATAAAGGCATAACACTAATCAAACACTTAAAAATATATAAAAAAGAATACATAAATACAATTATTAATAATCATAATACCTAAAAGGGAGGATAAAATAAAAATACACAAATATAAAATAGAAAGAATACAAAAAATAACATTCAAAAATTACAACAAAAAAAACAGCATGTGACTCAAACCATTGTTGCTAAAAAATAAATATTAAATTAATAATAATAATAAATTGAGGATAAAACCAAACCAAACTAGCTAATTAAATACATAATTTTAATAATTTATGCATTTAGCAGACGCTTTTATCCAAAGCGACTTACAGTGCATTCAGGCTATACATGTTTTACCAGTATGTGTGTTCCCTGGGAATCAAACCCACGACCTTTTGCGTTGCTAACGCAATGCTCTACCACTGAGCCACAGGAACATCATAAATACACAAATCTAATATTGGTCAGCCTCGCACAAAAAAAAAAAGAAGAAAAAAAACAACAACCATAATGACTCTCTTACTACAAAGTAACTTAGATGTGAGCGTAAACCCACGGAAAAGTGAGAGAACGCTTACTGGCTTCTTGGAGTCATCCACTTCCCTAATACTGAGATTTTCCAGAGGAATGATCCCTCTCGGCTCTTTATCCTGGAAACAGATGCAGAAGAGGAAGCACATGTGACCGCAGTAAAACGCAATGGATGGCTTATATTTACATTGGATTATTCAATCATTGAACTGCAATAAAGCAGATTCACGTACAGTGGTGTATTCAAAATAATATAGACAGTTGTCCGTCAATATGAACCATCTCCTCTTCCACGTCTTGACCCGTCCACCTGTGGATCAGACAGAGGGGAGTATATTAAGAATGTCTGTATGAGTATTTGGTAGAGAATAACTGTGGTGAGCAGTGGAGACATGAGGCACAGCAGCAGACAGACAGACAGACACGTGTATGGAACTCACATTAGCAGATGGCTCAAAGCCTCATGAACAAAACCCAGTTACCCCAAAAACACTGCAGTTAAATTAAACTGAAAAAATGACAAACGAATGGAGTAAATGAAAGCGCAAAGCACCTGGAAGCATAGCTTAATGAGCTAGCTAAAGGAAAACCAGTGTACATACCTCCTGAAGAAAGACAACATCAAACCAAAAACAAATGTGGAAGAAAGAAAATGAAATTAACTACGAAAATATGCAAAATGATTGTAACAAAAGACTAATAAAACACTTGTGTGTGTCAGCCTGGTGTAAAATCCAGGCTGAGCTGAAATCTGAGCAGCATGCGGATAAATAAGGAGGTTGTATCAGCTATTTTCGATTCGATTTGGACTATAAAGCATTTGGCCTCGTGCTTCTTGGCTATTACTTTACACAATGTAAGACTTTCAATTCACAGCTCTGATTAAATAAGATAATTCATCTAATTTTGGCATTAATGAGACACTTTATGTTTAGGCTTGTCCATGGACACATGTGTTATCCAGTCCCATTTCTTTATCTTCCGAACAGAGAAACATTCACTCACCCAGTTTGAGCAGCCAGCCCTCGCGGTCGGGGTTAAAGAACGTGTGCGTCAGGTCATTGCCGTCGTCTTCAGGTATCTTGAAGGGTTCATTCTTAATGCTCTCATAAAGGTTCTGCAGGAGTGTTTACATTGAGTTGTACTTCAAAATTAAAAATTGTATTTAGAGCTGAAAATTGTGTGGAAAATGAAACATTTCATTGCTACTAGGGCAACTTAAAAATTTTTTTTAAAATTATATATATATATATAAATAAACACACCACTGCAGCTAAAACATAAATAATAAGATAAAATATTTAATTTCAAATAATAATAATAAAACCTGTAAGTGATGATAAAAATAATAATAATGATAATAAAAACAAATAAATATAATAATAACAACAATATATAAACAATAAATGATTATTAATTACAAAAAGAAAAATCTGTGTGGGACACTGACTCGGAGCAGGTCTTCTGGCAGATCTCCTCCATCATTGATGCCTCTGTTCATGCAAATGAATCGCTCTGCAGATGGCTTGTCCTTCACATTAGGGTTGTGCAGACTTGTGTTCAACATGATGATTGCGAATGAAAGCACATAACATGTATCTGCAAAGAGATATTTTAGCATTTACAGGAGATTACATGTACAAACTGGCCCAAATGTAATGAATTAATTGACGTCCAAACTCGTGAGTTTAAACACTAAGGAGTCATGCTCATTTTCTAATACAGACATCATGCTGAGAAAAAATTTGCATCCAAATATTGCTTAAGCCAATGTTACTTGCATTTCTAATCCTCTTTGTATTCATAATTTTATGAATACATTCACAACACCCTCAACTTCTCTCAAATTTATATTCATTACATGAAATGATTAAAGAATCTATTGTTGCTAGAACTTCTTAGCAGCCAAGGAGAATATTTCCGTGCAATTTTGAATTTTCTCTTGTTGAAATGCAGCAAAGTGCTCATGACAGGCCATGTGTAGCTACTTTGCAGAGCAACATGTGGGCAGCATGGAAGTGCTCTACATGCGGCACTCTTTACATGCATATTAGCATGGCTAAGAGCATTGAAAATTTATGAAGAGAGCACAAGACATGTATGAGTGGGTGTGGGTGCAGAGGGACTGGGTCTTTGGGGTAAACAACAGCTTTGAATTGAGATAATCAGTGTCATTTTATGCACTTTGTTAAAATAAAATAAAATAATTTTAAAAATTTATTTTAAAATGTAAAACCCAAATAAAAAAAAAATACAAATTAATTTAAAATAAAAAAAAAAATCATAAAAATGTTTACTATTTAAAAGCAATGGAGTGCATTCAACATCATATTTGTTTCTGCCTAAAAATCATGAAATTTCACTAGTACTGACTACTGAATTTTTTATATTGTTACAACCCATTGCAAAATCAGATTATTATACATATACATAAATACCTGTGGACTGAAAGACACCGGGATTGCATTGACAGTAACGCTGTGCAAAAGCCTCCATCATTCGATCGATCTTCTGAGCTTCACCCGGTAACCGGAAACTCCATAAAAACTGTCTGCATGGAGCACGGGGAGAAATTAACTGTATTAATGAGATCATAATGAGACTATCAAATCAATTTGCTGAATTTGTCAAAGGAGATCATAATCTATACATCTGTATTTTGTCACCTGAGTGCCTGAACCAGGTTGAGGTCTGTAAATTCATGAAGCTCCACAAAGGCATGAAGAACCTGAATATTGAACTCATCCCTGGAAATGAGATGAGATTCAATCTTAGATCAACAGCAATGATGTTACGGTGACATCTGGTGAAAAATGGATGGTACAACTAGATTTGTTTTTCCTTCAGGGAATACCAGTGCTTTCAAAGTAGCAAATGAATAGTGTTCCTAAATTTTATGATAAGTTTGAACTAAATTAATCATTAATCAATCAAATTTGTAAAGAAAAGACAGATAGAATTCCACTAAAAACATATGCCACTAAAAACCTTGTCTACAGTTGTAAAACTTGCAGCGTTCACACTGTGATTGGAATTACGGCTGTGATCCTCCTCTCAGACGTCTCCAATGAGCATTAAATCTCACGGGGGGGATTACGTCTGGGATTTACCGTCCATGTGTAACAAGCATTTTCTTCAGTGAGGAAATGTCGATAATATTAATGAGCTACGAATACATTAACCCACTTCGGGGGTCCGTCCATTGCCGTAACCTCACTTCAGCAATGATCCTGGGATTCACTATTGATTTTCCTCAGGTGACACAGAAAATAATGCGCTTGCATTTATGCGGGTGTTCATTTACAGAAAGAGCATTATTGACTGATTATTGGAAGGCTATTGGAACGAGAGCTAAAGTACCTTACAAGACAGATGATTAGTTATGTATTAATAAAAAACGGAATATTCGTTCATGTCTATAATTACACTGAGTGAGGAAAATAAATCCTCCACACATACTATATACCTTTCCTTCCTGCTCTGACAGGTCCCTGATGACCTGGCACTGACATTGAATTTCAGTCCATCCATAAATGTGTAAGCTGACCCTTAATGCAGAACACAGCACTTTCATACGGGCACAGGCAACCTTGTTGCAGTAGATAATGGCTTTTGACAGACTATAGTACTGGACCAGCTTATGATCGGTGAGGTCATCCTCCCCTGAGCTCTGATTCTAGATATGGCAAATTCAGATCTTTAAAAAAGCCAAAATCTGTTTAAATTCCATTAACCTATTTTTGCTTGATAGTAAATTGTTTGAAAGGACATGACTGTGTTTAAAGGCCAGGAAGGTTACAAGTAGTCTTGCATAGCTTAAATGTCTGGTCCAAAATGCAGCTCATTCTTTCGGTGACCCAGTAAGTGCACAACACTACAAAATCGCCACAACACAACGCAAAGGACTAATTTCATTGTGTTGTGCTAATTTTGTTGTGTTGCGGGCTTGTTTCCGTTGTGTTGTGCTAATTGCGTTGTGTTGCGGGCTTGTTTCTGTTGTGTTGTGCTTACTGCGTTGTGTTGTGCTAATTTTGTTGTGTTGCAGCTTGTTTCCGTTGTGTTGTGCTAATTGCGTTGTGTTGTGGGCTTGTTTCCGTTGTGTTGCAGCTTGTTTCTGTTGTGTTGTGCTAATTGTGTTGTGCTAATTTTGTTGTGTTGCGGCTTGTTTCCATTGTGTTGTGCTTACGGATGCACCGATCCGATACCCAGTATCGGCTCTGATACGGTCATTTTCTGCCGGATCGGGTATCGTTCAGACGAGACCGATCCAAATCCGATATTGTGCGTATAGTATTCTGTTTTATTGTTAAGCACCACGAAAGGCACAGAATCATTATAAAGCACCATGAAGTTTTTGTGAACTATATTCCAAGTGTTCTGAAGCCATTAAATAGTTTAATGTGAGGTAGAGATGAATATTTAAGTCAAGTTCACTTAAACTCTTCTCTCCGCTGCGGCTGTTAGGGTTAGGGTTATGATCGTCCATTCAGCATTCAAACTGCTTGCCGCGTTCGGTTACGACAGTCAAGACGATGAAACTCTCTCCAAGAGCGTAGTAACTGAAATTTAAAACTGTTAAAAGAAAAGGCTCAAACTATCGCACAGATTTAATACACTACGCATCAATATCTCTTTTTTTTCTTCGTGCTTTGAACTTTTCTATGCTGCGCTGTGACTGTTGCTTCAAGCGCATCATTCTGCGCACGGGATGCACATAAGCGCTTTGTGCCGCTCTGTATTGGAGCCTTTCGTATTATAATACTTTTGTGCAATGAAAGATTATTAATTGCCATTCTTGTTCTGTCCTATCTATCATATGTTGCTGCCTCCATTACTGTGCTATACATTTTAAATAAATGTCTTTTAATTTTATAGTATATATTTATATGTAAATATATTTACTTGTTTTTCATGAATGTATTTTACAACAATACAAAGAGCAATGTGTAACATTTATCAAATTCAGTCCTACACTTATTCACTTTTATTTGTTCCCACTAAATAATGTTATTTCACTAAATGGTTAGATTTTATAAAATTATTGTGCACTCATGATTTTTCTAGAATAACTTTTGCTGCTGAATTATCCACTAACCTAGTTTATAATAGTATTTTTGTATTATGATTATATATTTTTTCATGTATTTTTCTTTAAAATGAAGTTGTCTATATTTAGTAGATTGTGTTCAACACAAAAAACAGTGATGATCAGGTCAACACACTGAGGTATAGAAATTCTACATTGATTATAAAAAAAACAGTGTGAAAAACAGAAATGGTATCGGTGCATCCCTAGTTGTGCTAACTGCGTTGTGTTGTGCTAATTTTGTTGTGTTGCTTGTTTCTGTTGTGTTGTGCTAATTGCATTAAGTTGTGCTAATTTTGTTGTGTTGTGGCTTGTTTCCATTGTGTTGTGCTAATTTCGTTGTGTTGTGCTAATTGCGTGGTGTTGTGCTAATTGCGTGGTGTTGTGCTAATTGCGTGGTGTTGTGCTAATTGCGTGGTGTTGCGGCTCGTTTCCGTTGTGTTGTAGAGATTTCGTTGTGTTGTGCACTACTGGGCCACCATACATTCTGGTCAAGAAACTCCCACCATCTTGTAGGCTAAAAGTCAGAAAAATTGTTTTTAATAATTTTTTGTCTACTGACAACTCAGAAATGAAATATATACTAAAAGGTATTACCGACCACATTAAATAGTAATGTTTTTGAAAGAAGTCTCTTAAGCAAACCAAAGCTGCATTTATTTAATAAAAAAAAAAAAGGAAATAGTAATATAATGTAATGTGATATAATGTGAAATATTACGATTTCAAATAACTGTTTTCTCTTTTAATATATTTTAAAATGTAATGTATTCCTGTGATGGCAAAGCTGAATTTCAGAAGCCATTACTTCAGTCTTTAGTGCCACATGATCTTTCAGAAATCATTCTAAGATGCTGATTTTAATGCACAAACATTTTTTGTATTATTACCAATGCTAAAAACTGTTCTTTCAATATTCTTGTCGAAAAATATTTCTTCAATTTTTTAATCTATTTATTAAGACTTCAGAAGCTCTCTTTCTCGACCATCAGCTGAAAGACTTGTTCTTACCTTTCACCCAGATAATCTCCGATGGCTGTCTTGTTGAGGCCCTCACCCTTGTAGAGAAATTGAGCAATATCTTCACAAGTGTTCTTCAGCAATTCATTCTCTATGAGGAACTGAATACCCTGAGAAAAACACATCATTCAGCATAAAGAAATTCTAAAACAGCCCTACATGCATTCAATATAATTTCAGTTTCCTGTTGGCAAAGTACATAAAAAAAATCAGCCTCTTATCCTGCTCTCTCAGCTTTAACCTATGAGTTTGGGTTCTGGTAAATCTATGGAAATGAACTGAAAATTGTGTGGTTGCACGATGCTTAGCGTGTGCTTATGATAATATGTGCACCCACACAAGTTCAAAGGTTTAAAAATGCAAAATGGCAATGCATTTGATGTAATAGGGGACCATTTTCTTTGCCAGTGCATATCTCTATAATGGAGAAAACTTCAAATACAAAAAAGAGATGCTTCTTGTATTACACTCCATTGCTAGTTTACCTTTTTGGGATCCATGTTAAATTTCTTGCGTCCCATAGCCACCTGTTTATTCCGCTGCATGTTTATTCTGTAAACACAGAGAGATGAGGGCTTTATTAATGCTGGGTAGGTTTTTGACAGCTGCAATCTAAAGCTAAAATCCAGGGAATGGAGTTGTACAACACCTACGCCTGTCAGGGCCTCATAGTGGCATCATTAATAACCACTCAGCCAAATGCACTTTTGGATGGTGGTGTGACATGTAATGTTAAAAGCCACAGCCTGTAAAAGGGGCCACACACTACTGTACCTTCCACTGTGGCCACATGACATCACTCAAGGTGGAGGAGGAACAAAGAATGACAAAAGAATTTCATAAAAGGAAGGTTAACGACATGGAACACTTTCTGAAAATGGATTTCTTCCATCCAAATGGCCCTCATGTGAATCAAAGTGGGCATTCCTGTGAAGTGTTCGGTGGCCCCAGTGGGATCATGCATCATGTATAATGAATGGGCCTGATTCAGTTTGATGTATATTCTTTGATGTGATTCTGTTTGGTCTGGGAATATGGGTCACTGCAGTCAGGCAGTATCAGGGGCCATTCACACAGAAGAAGCTTTTGCACTGTAAAACGCAAGACGCGGGCAGGTGTTGTGCACTACTGGGCCACCATACATTCTGGTCAAGAAACTCCCACCATCTTGTAGGCTAAAAGTCAGAAAAATTGTCTACTGACAACTCAGAAATGAAATATATACTAAAAGGTATTACCGACCACATTAAATAGTAATGTTTTTGAAAGAAGTCTCTTAAGCAAACCAAAGCTGCATTTATTTAATCAAAAAAAAAAAAAAAGTAGAAATAGTAATATAATGTAATGTGATATAATGTGAAATATTACGATTTCAAATAACTGTTTTCTCTTTTAATATATTTTAAAATGTAATGTATTCCTGTGATGGCAAAGCTGAATTTCAGAAGCCATTACTTCAGTCTTTAGTGCCACATGATCTTTCAGAAATCATTCTAAGATGCTGATTTTAATGCACAAACATTTTTTGTATTATTACCAATGCTAAAAACTGTTCTTTCAATATTCTTGTCGAAAAATATTTCTTCAATTTTTTAATCTATTTATTAAGACTTCAGAAGCTCTCTTTCTCGACCATCAGCTGAAAGACTTGTTCTTACCTTTCACCCAGATAATCTCCGATGGCTGTCTTGTTGAGGCCCTCACCCTTGTAGAGAAATTGAGCAATATCTTCACAAGTGTTCTTCAGCAATTCATTCTCTATGAGGAACTGAATACCCTGAGAAAAACACATCATTCAGCATAAAGAAATTCTAAAACAGCCCTACATGCATTCAATATAATTTCAGTTTCCTGTTGGCAAAGTACATAAAAAAAATCAGCCTCTTATCCTGCTCTCTCAGCTTTAACCTATGAGTTTGGGTTCTGGTAAATCTATGGAAATGAACTGAAAATTGTGTGGTTGCACGATGCTTAGCGTGTGCTTATGATAATATGTGCACCCACACAAGTTCAAAGGTTTAAAAATGCAAAATGGCAATGCATTTGATGTAATAGGGGACCATTTTCTTTGCCAGTGCATATCTCTATAATGGAGAAAACTTCAAATACAAAAAAGAGATGCTTCTTGTATTACACTCCATTGCTAGTTTACCTTTTTGGGATCCATGTTAAATTTCTTGCGTCCCATAGCCACCTGTTTATTCCGCTGCATGTTTATTCTGTAAACACAGAAAGATGAGGGCTTTATTAATGCTGGGTAGGTTTTTGACAGCTGCAATCTAAAGCTAAAATCCAGGGAATGGAGTTGTACAACACCTACGCCTGTCAGGGCCTCATAGTGGCATCATTAATAACCACTCAGCCAAATGCACTTTTGGATGGTGGTGTGACATGTAATGTTAAAAGCCACAGCCTGTAAAAGGGGCCACACACTACTGTACCTTCCACTGTGGCCACATGACATCACTCAAGGTGGAGGAGGAACAAAGAATGACAAAAGAATTTCATAAAAGGAAGGTTAACGACATGGAACACTTTCTGAAAATGGATTTCTTCCATCCAAATGGCCCTCATGTGAATCAAAGTGGGCATTCCTGTGAAGTGTTCGGTGGCCCCAGTGGGATCATGCATCATGTATAATGAATGGGCCTGATTCAGTTTGATGTATATTCTTTGATGTGATTCTGTTTGGTCTGGGAATATGGGTCACTGCAGTCAGGCAGTATCAGGGGCCATTCACACAGAAGAAGCTTTTGCACTGTAAAACGCAAGACGCGGGCAGTGGAATGAAGAAATAAGCATCTCGAGGAGCTTTTTTTTTTTTTTTTTACAGTAGCACTTTTAACTTTGTAAAATTCGCAATGACTCCAGAAAAGCTGAGAAATGCCTTCATCTCAACAATGACAGGTTACTTTCACAGAAGCTAAGTGGAAGTGGAATTTCATAAACTATTGTATGCATGTATGTATGTATGTATGTATGTGTGTGTGTGTGTGTGTGTATATAAATCACAAGTAGCAGTGTGATATGGCTGCATATCAGCACGGCTGTGATTCGGCTGTAGGCCCGAGGCCACTGATGCCCTGGAGCTCACATCTCCGAAAATGTCAATGCTAATTTTCAAATAGACATTATCTTTATTAACAAACCACATATCTTAAAACTACATTTCATGACACAAAAACAGTATTATTTATAAAATTATAGTGGATTTGGGTGTCCACAATGACACTCACTGTAAGAAACACTGCAAGTGGAGTGATAAAAAGGTTAGAGTTCTATTATCACTACCACACTGCTGGAAAAGTCTCTCAACCAATCAGATTCGAGGACCAGAAATTCTACTATAACTAATTCTATAACTTCTACAGAAGTTCTATTGCTTGTAATTTGTTTCTTTGTTCTTTAATTGTTTACTTTATTAATTTAATAAATAATAAAATAAAATGGTCAATTGCTTAATTGAGAAATATATGGACACCTGTCAGTGTTTTAATTTAGTTTGTTAATATTTAAATTAATATGCATCTACTTCAAAAGGCATGTTCAATGAAATGTAATTTTTTTTCTGTGATATTAAAATTTGTTTTGAGAATCGTGATATTTTGCTGGTATTAACCAAAGACATTTTGGTATCTTGTCACAGAAAGAGAACTCAAGTATAAGTGAGAACAGAGTAATGTACAAAACCACATTCAAAAACAGGTGACTTACGACAGCAGTGTTTTGAATGCAGCTGAGCAAATGTATGTTGCTGATGTAGGCTAGTACTGTAACTGCACTTTTATTTGGTGTATATAAAAAGTGTATTATACTGTACGATCCACATGTGAGTGTGTACTGTATGCGTGTAGTCCGTGTGCGCGCCATAATACTCTCAGCAACCCATCTTCCTGAAGCAGCCCAGGGACAGATCAATAAGACTCATATTACCAATCCACCGAGGATACGCGCTCGCATACACACACACACACACACACACACACACACACACATGAGTGTGTACTGTATGCGTGTAGTCCGTGTCTGAACTAAATACCGTCCATAATACTCTCAGCAACCCATCTTCCTGAAGCAGCCCAGGGACAGATCAATAAGACTCATATTACCAATCCACCGAGGATACGCGCTCGCATACACACACACACACACACACACACACACATCTTTGCCCTTTTGATGCATTCTGCATTATAACACCACATCCCTCTCAAGCTATAGCGCCTGGAAAGGTCAAATAAGTAGCCTTTAAATATCTGACCTTCCTCTGCTATACATTTTCGGAGTGTGTGAATGACCCTGAAACCTCACAACAGGAGTGCAGCTGGAATAACTGACCCAGACAGGTGCTCTATGAAGAAATGTGTTAAATAAATCAATGAGTTATAGAGAGGGCAATCCAAGAGGTCTGAAGAGACCAAGAATCTAGGGATGAAGAAACCACACTATTAAAATCATCTCTAGAAGGCATGGAAAGTCACTACAAATGGTCCAGTGAATCAGACTGAAAGTTTTTCTGAACTCCTCACGGCTGTGGGCACAAAGATGGAATAAAGTGGTCATGATAATAAAGTTGTATCTGACGGTTGCTATGCCACAGCTGCCATATAAAGGTAACATGTAAACAAACACTACAAGTTGCCAGCCCACACTTTTCCATTCGTTTTATCCTTATGCAATGCATTTAATGTGTTTTTTTGTCTCTTGGCAACAGCCAGAATGTTCCAGCTGGACCAGGAAGGAACCAGTACTGTCCAGCAGGGCTCTATGGAGACAGAGAGGTTGAGCTTGGCAGTTCAGTCACTTTAATCAGGCACTTCATCTCCATTAGACAAATATTACAGCAATTTACTAATCGTCCTGCTGGTATCAAGAAGGACACCGAGAACCATTTGGTTAATCGCTACATTTTATTTAGTACATGACATTTATACCCACCATCACTTCACATTTTTTAGACACAAAGTTATACACACCCATTCGCTTGTTAAATATTTTGGTCAATGTGCTTAAAGGGTTAGTTCACCCAAAAATGAAAATTAGGCTGTGTTTTACTCACCCCAGAGCCATCCTAGGTGTATATGACTTTCTTCTTTCAGACTAATCCAGTTTGAGTTAGATTATTAATTAAAAATTGTCCTGGCTATTCCAAGCTCTATCATTGCAGACAGCGGGTGTTGCAGTGCTTCAGTCCAAAATAAGTTAAATAAAAAGTGCCCATCCATAAAAAAAAAAGTAGGGTCTCACACGACTCCGGGGGGTGAAAAAAGGCCTCCTGTAGCGAATCGATGCGTTTTTGTAAGAAAAATATCCCTATTCAAAACGTAATAATCTAGCTTGCGCTCGCTGTTGTAAATGAAAGCAGCTCCGGGTGCATGAGGTATGAGGTCGGCTTTGCGCATGCGCCGCTCAGAAGTGACGCACGCGGAAACACAGCGGAGAGATCAAAATAAAACACCGGTCACTTATTAGAAGTACAAAACGAGGATTTGTAAAGAAGAATGTCGGAGGATTTCGCCAAGAGGAGCCAAGAGGAGACTGGTTTTCC